GAGCCACCCAGCCACGGCCTGTAACGCCCGACTAAGGTCATCAGGAGTGGAATCCGACTGGCCGCCCAACATCAGATACAGCTGGGTGTCATCAGCATATTGATGACACCCCAGCCCACAACTCCGGGCAACCTGGGCGAGGGGGCGCATGTAGATGTTAAACAACATCGGGGATAGCACTGCCCCCTGAGGTACGCCGCATTCAAGGAGCCACCTCCGGGACCGCTGATCCCCTATCGCCACGCTCTGTCCCCGACCTTGGAGAAAAGAGACCAGCCATTGCAGGGCAAGCCCCTGAATCCCCACGTCGGCAAGGCGGTGAGCCAGCAACTGATGGTCGACCGTATCAAAAGCGGCCGACAGATCTAACAGCAACAGCGCCGCCACACCGCCTTGATCCAGATGCCTACGGAGGTCATCCGTCAGTGCGATCAGGACAGTCTCCACCCCATGACCCGGGCGAAACCCGGACTTGTGGGGATCAAGGACAGAAGCGTCATCCAGAAATGCCTGCAGCTGTGTTGCCACCGCTCTCTCTATCAATTTGCCCAAATAGAGCAAATTGGACACCGGCCGATAGTTGGCCAATTCGGGCGGGTCTAAAGATGGCTTTTTTAGGAGAGGGCGGACCATCGCTTCCTTGAGTGCCCCGGGGAATCGTCCCTCCAAGAGAGACTTGTTAATAATCTCCTGCAGGGCACCTTGCTCATTCTTCAAACTCTTCATGACAATATTGAGTTTCACTGAGTCCTTGTGCAGCTCTCCAAGTAATCTCCTTGGTGTAAAGGTGTTCTTCACAGGGAACACTTCTTTGATTTTCTTAATTCAGACATTCCATTTTCCCTATTCTGTGCCTTGGGTGAGTTCTGCTCCCTTACTATAAATGTATCCGTCTCTTCCCTGGTAATGAGAAGGTTGATTCCTTTGTGTTGTTTGCAGATTGGCCCTGCCCGATTCCGGGCCCCTGAGCTGCTGTTCCGTCCAGACCTGATTGGGGAGGAGTGTGAGGGACTTCATGAGGTGTTGGTGTTTGCAATTCAGAAGTCTGATATGGACCTGAGGCGAACGTTGTTCTCCAACATTGTGCTCTCTGGAGGCTCGACACTCTTCAAAGGTTCTTTTTGTCAGTTCTTTGCTTTCTGTGAGATTCTGTGAGCTGAAAGTTTAATCTCTTTCTGGCCTTGTCATCTTGGAATCTAGTGATGCTTACATGAGCTCCCTTGGGTGTGAGGATTGGCAGAAACACCCTTTACTGTGGGAGCGGGGCGGGGAACTATTAGGAAGACATTTGCTTCAGCACAATTTGAGGTGATGAAGCTTCCATTGAAAGACTATTCTATGAACTCTGTATCTGTGAAAGTTTTGTTGTGGCTTCTCATCATACTACTGAGACACCCCAGTTGTGTAGCCTACTTAAATCTGCCCTTTCCTTGCACTTTATCATCACTGATGTCTCTTCAGGAAGTATTTCACCTTGTATTATTCAGATACAGCCCTTCTGTTTCTGAGTTAATGCTTCTGAAGACCTAGAAGCCTGCAATATGTCCCAGTTTCCTTTGAAGTGTGGGAAAGAGAAAAGGAACTTAGCACTATCCAGAACAAACAAGTCTAGTGACATCATAAAGTGTAATGAGGTTTTATTCCAGCATCAGTTTTCATGGACTATCTGCAAGTACTCCTTTTTACCACAAACAGATCAGGGGACGACAGAAGATGAAGAGTGAGATATGTTTTCCCCTTCCTGAAAATTAAGAGGTTTTGGTATGCAGAGCCCTGTCAGGTTGAAAAAACAAGCAAGAATCTGAGCTCCTGCCTTGAAACTTTTATCATTTGGCTTTTATCATTTGTTCAGGTTTCGGTGATAGGCTTCTTAGTGAAGTAAAGAAACTGGCCCCCAAGGATGTCAAAATCAGGGTAGGTAGAAGTCTGCCTTTGTGTTTTATCCTCTGAAGGGGGAGCACCAGGTTGGCTGGGCAAAACTGACCCTATGAAAGATAGGGTTGCAGGCTTTTCTCTGGAGTGAATGTGTTAGTTTATTTTGTGTAAGCATTAGCTTCCATTAACAGCCCTTGTTTTTAGAATGCATTTCTCACCTTTGAAGCAGCCATTTGGAGTAAAGTGTGCAGAGGTATATAGAAAGCATGTAGGCCAAATCCACCCAAACATACCCAAAAGAATAAGCTGAAGTCTACTGGTTTTTGTTTGTTTTGTTTTAATATTAGGTGTTAGTCTAGTGCAGTCTCGTGGCCCTTAAAAATGAATACATTTATTGTACTGTAAGCTTTTGCGAGCCAGAGCCTATTTGGACAGATGCAGAATCATATGGTTTCTTTTGAGGAGGCTGTATTTTTTTTTTTAAAAAAAGAAGGCCATATAGGAGACCTCTTAGTGAAAAGGCTGCACTACTGACCATGTATCTCTTCCATTTCCAAACCCTGTGGGCAAAGTGTGGCTGAGACAGACTCAGACGTAATCTGCTAGGGAGGAACGTTATGAGCCTGGCATGTGAAGAATGAATGCTACACCAGCTAAACCTGCCTCTTTCTTTCAGATATCTGCTCCTCAAGAGAGATTGTATTCTACATGGATTGGGTATGTACAGCATAAATCCACTGCATCTTGAAATTCTAATCCTACTTGCCTTCTTATAGACTCTCCCACTAATTCAGATCAGCATCATCACTTAATTATAATGGGAGAAGAGAATCTGGACTGTAGCCATGTCTGGCATAGTACAGATTACTATAACTGCTATGGTGGCTCTTGGAAATCCCTAGTGGAAGTCAGGTTTTACTGGCTCTCTAAAGGGGCATGGGTGGGTAGCTGTAGCCACATGGTTTACAAGCTTTCTGCCTGTTGGGAAATGGGAATTGCCGTTGATTGAGGGAGCCACTGCATCTCTGCCACACAACTCTTCTGTATTGTACAAAGACTTGGGTGTGTTCTGAGGTCACACCTGGTTCATGCATGGCACTGGTCCAGCTTTTGGGGTGAATGCATCCTGGGATTCACCCAACACATACCCTCTCACATATTCTGTGAGGAAAATCTATAGATGTGATCAAGCTGCCTTTCAGAGAGGCTTGGCTGCCATGACTGGTGTTTTACTAGAGACCGAAAAGGGACAGCTGTGTTAGTCTCCTGTAGCAAAATAACACGGAAGTCCAGTGGTACCTGAAGACTTAACAACACTATGAATGCTACTGGACTTCCTTCTCTTCTCCTCTCGCCTCTCATATCCCTAGGGTTCCTTGGAACACTGTTTGAAAACCACTACTGTAATAGTGTAGCCTTAGGAGGAAGAGGGGAAAAGCCAATTCCCCCACATCTAACTTCCTTGCTTGGTCCCTCTTCAGTGGCTCCATCCTGGCCTCTCTGGACACCTTTAAGAAAATGTGGGTTTCCAAGAAAGAATATGAAGAAGACAGTTCCCGGGCAATCCACCGGAAAACCTTCTAACCCAGGTGCATCCTGGGGTCTCCTTGGAGATTTCTTCTTGTTCTCAACTCACTTTTCTGAGTCCGAGTGTCTGAGGAGCTCCTCGTTTGTGTGCGTGTGGATGGGTGGATGGTGCCAGAATGCTCTGGACTTTCCCAGAGCGAAAGGAAAGGGCGGGGTTTTGACTTAACTTCTGGTTGCTCTTGTGGGAGGTAGGTGAGAAATTGGAATGAACTTTATTGGGATATGTTCCTTTTCAGTTGGTCCTTGGACTTTTGGGGCGGGAGTGTGATTCTTACAGAAGACAGAAAAAAGGATGGCTTAGAAACTGAGCGGCTAAGCCAGGTGGGAACATGAGCATTTGTATACCGGTCCGTGTTTGGGCTCCAAATGGTCAGTGTAAGAATGTGAGCCGGGCGGAAGAGCTGTCATAGAAACTCTGAGCAGAGAAGCTGCTTGTCGCCCGTCTCCGTTGCTCAGTAGTTGTTTTGTTTGTTTTTAGTTGGACCACTTTCCCCCCCCATCCCTTTTTTTAAATGCAAAAGAGAATAAGCACATCCTGAGCTGTTAAAACCCCACTTACTGCCATTTGTGTGCCAGTGTGATAAATCCTGAGGTTGGTGTGTGAGCATCTGAACCACAACAGGATGGTTGGAGCAGTTAATTTTAGGAACTAGTTTGTAATGCATGGCGTAGAACAGGAACACCCTTCCTCTGGTCTATTCTAGACCGTCCTTGTTTTAGCATCCTGTAGTGGAGACAAGTCGCCTGTCATGCAGCCAAGTGTGTCTTGAACCTTCTCCCTCCCCCCTGCCCCATCATCCTGCCTCATGTGTAGCTTAAAGATTTACAGTGTTGATGTTTTCTGTAAAAAGCTGAAGCCTTATGCCTAGGCTGTAAACCCTGCACACAGGGCTCTTCATCCATCCTTGCAGGGAAGCCAGATAACGGTTTTTAGAACAATTTTATTTATTGAAAAACTTGATGGCAACTGAATTATTAACTACACCAATCGTTTGTTCCCTATGTACTCTCTCATGCACAGTCCTATTATGCTCCCCCCCCATACTGTTTAACACTAACACTGACATTTTAACAGTATTATCATTTAGTACTGTTGGGTCAGCCACACAGCCTCTCCCTCCTGGAGTACCTTGTTACTGCTGGAGGGGCTGTTTTCCATGAATGTACCACAGGAGGGAACAATACTCACTCCTGGAATCCTTCGGAAGTGGAGTAGTGACCTCCTGAGGGAGGTGGCCATGCCAGAGTTGCACACCCTTTGGCTGTTTTTGCCCTGTTACAGAAATGGAAAGGATCACATGTCTGCTTTGAACGGAGGATTTTGTTTTTACAGTTTTTGTTTTTAAAAATACACATGTTTTGGTGCTTCTGATTTTTAAGCTTTCTTTTTTTAAAAAACACTGCTGCTGGAAACCAAATAAGGTATATTGTTGGCCATTTAAGTATTAAAAGACAATGCAGCTGGATGCTAGCCTTATGACTACCTATAGCCAAATGTTGCAGAAAAGACTGCAATAGGAAGCAAGAATTGAGGGACTTGATCTCCCAGATGTTGGCAAAGCCTTGTCCCATGTGCTACTGACCACCACTGTCTTTTGGATGTGGTCCGGTTTGTCTTTTGATTTGCAAGCCTTTGTTATGCTCTTGGAGGTCCTCACCATTCTCAGGAGACCTCCTTGGGGGCTGTTAATAGGCAAGCTGGAATTTAAGTTGCATCCTGCCCGTTTCCGAAGCTGCATGGAAGGGCAAATCTCATACCCTGTCCTGCAGAGGCAACACAATCTTGTGTGTTATGCAATGGCTTTCACAGTGTTTTCAGAAAAATAAAACTCCAGGGTAAGAACTTGCTGTTGAAAATGTGAGGTTAACATCGCCACCCTAAGTAAAGTTATACACTTCTGAGTCTACTCAAGTCAGCTGCCAGATGAACCAGAGTAGTTGCTGGAACTTTCAGAATAACTGGCTGGCTTTTGGGGAAGAAAGATAGAAGAGATGTATTTGAGCTGTATGATCTTACTGTAACCCTTTGTATTTTGTGTTCAACTAAAGGATATCTGTTAGTTCCTGGGTGCCTCTTCCTGCAAGAAAGATGGCCTTGGACTGAGTAGCAATGTGCTTTTGATGAGCAATATCACCACCGCCATGTCCCCTTATTTCCGGAGACTTATTGTGAAAAGGTGAGGAGACTCTGCCCAGGCAGCAGATCCCAGGGAAGTGCTGGCACTTGTGATTCTGCAGCATCAATGTATCATTTTCCTTCAGTAGCTGTGCCTGGCGTCTGAGTCTGCTGAAGCACTGAGAGCTGGCATGAAGCCACTCTGCAGTAATGTTCTCGGACCCTCATTTTTTGAAAGCACCCTACTCAGTGCTGACAGATCGAAATCAGATATCTTTGTTTTGCCCCACCCCTTTTCCTGGTGTATTTATAATACTTTTAAGTAATACTTTTATGTCGGGGGTTTGCTCATCTCAGATGTACCCTGGGCACCTAACAGTGCAATCCATCCAGTTACTTCAGCCCAAGCCCATTGATTTCAAAAAGTCTAGACTGGGGCAACTCTGCAAAGGATTGCCCTGTAGATCGGGTGGCTTTGCCAGGGCAGCGTACCTTCTCTAGTGACTTTAGGAAGTCGTCTTCTGAGATAAGTTGTCTTATCCGGATAAGTTGTCTTATCCAACAGTTGCATTAATGCCACTTCACTTTGTTTTCTTATTCAGAGTGAAATGAAGTTTCTCCTGGAATAAGGCCAGTACTACAAGTAGTATTGGTGTCCAAACTTTACTTTAACCAAATTAAGCTGGATTTAAAAGTTTGTTATATCCTTGGCTGAGAGGCTGCTCTGTATTGGTGCTTAGAGCATGTTGTTACTGTGGCAGAGACTAAGGCTACAGTGGCCAATCAGAATTTGCAGGCAGTCAGGTACTTCGCTTTGACATGTTGCATTCAGTTGTCAATGACTTGTAGCTCTGAAGCTGTTTGGGGTGTTTTTGTGAATGGTGGACCAAAGCTGACTTTCAGTGGACCAGTTACCTAGGGGATAATCCTGATTCCTGGCTTGTCAGTTTGAGACCTACAGATATCAGCATCACCTGAGATGTTTCATGGTGGACCATACTACGGCCTTCTCCCATAAATAAGGGAGACTGGCTTGCCTTATGATGCAAGAATGTTGTGTTTTGTTTGAACTGTCTAGGTGTCTGGTATTTTAGAGGCCTTGATTTTTATCTGGTGTTAAGTGTCTTTCTATGCTTTCCAGTAGTTGCATGAAAACAAAGGAATTTGTGCTTTTAAAGAAATTTCCTTTTGTTCCCACAGGGAATAATTACTAACGACGTGGGGCCAGTGCATGGCACCATATACCTAGAGGTCATAATGAGCAACTCTTGGCTTAGTGTAGTCCATGTTTCGGTTGGTAGGTATGGGAAAATGAGAAGAAATATTATTAAATCTCCAAGTTGGCTCCTGCCCCTCCTTTAAACTCTTGTGACCTTTTCTTTGTTTTGACATCCATTATCAGAACTATCAGAAGCAGCAATGTTGACAAACTGACAGGTGCTTTTCACAATCTAGCATTGGTTCTATCTGCTTGACACTGTACTTTGCACATGTGTGCAAACCACTGCTGGATGCTGCCCAACATACTTAATAAAGTTGTTAATATACAAAGTGTTATCCTGTTTGTTACTACGATCATAGAACAGATCCTGAAATATGAACGAGTTGGGTTGTTATCCTTTTTACATGAACAGTTCCTGGAGCTGATGCTCCTTACAGTGAGTGCCAGTATATACTTTCAGTGTACTCCTGAACAGTGGGTGCCAAGTTTATCCATCTGTTTAGAACATACACTGGGAATATAGGAAGCTGCCTTTTACTAAGTCAGACCCATCAGTCTGTCAAGATCAGTATTATCTGCTCTGACCGGGGGTGGCTGTCCAATGCCTCAGGTAGAGAGTTCTTTCCCATCACATGCTACCTGATCCTTTTAACTGGAGAGGGTGGGGACTGAACCTGGGACCTTCTGCATGCAAAGGAGATGCTCTACTACTGAGCTATGGCTTAATCCAGTTATATCTCCCATCACTTGATAAACCAAAGAAGTACAGAACTCTACAAGAGAAATGAATAGTAACAAGAGGACAGAAGCATTCAAACAGCAAACATACAGACAAATGGACAGAAGAAGAAGAGATTGGATTTATACCCCGCCCTTCACTTGGAGTCTCAGAGCGGCTTACAAACTCCTTCCCCTCCCCACAACAGACACCCTGTGAGGTGGGTGGGGCTGAGAGAACTCTGACACAAACTGCTCTTTTTCAAGGACAGCTGTTCCAGAGCTTGTGACTGACCCAAGCTAACATCAGCAGGTGCAAGTGGAGGAGTGGGGAATCAAACCCGGTTCTCCCAGATTAGAGTCCGCACACTTAACCACTACACCAAACTGGTTGCATGCTTTCAATCCCATGACCACTTTCTCTGTTTTACTATGGTTTCTTCAGGGAGAAAGTTCTAACATGGGTTAGTCAGAAACTCTCACTTAACTAACTGCTTCATGGTGGCTGGAGATCTCCCACTGTTGCAGCTGATTTCCAGGCGAAAATGGCTGCTTTGGAAGGTGGACTCTATGGCAATATATCCCATGGAAGTCCTTCCTCTTTCCAAACCCCTCCCTCCTCAGACTCCACCCCCCAAAGTCTCCAGGTATTTCCCAGCCTGGAGTTGGCAACCCTAGCTACCACAACACATGTATTTTTAATTTATGATGTTTCAGGGATTACTAGGAAAAATAAGTTGAAGACATGTTATGTAGTAAACAAAAGGAAGTGTATTTGAACAAACCGTCTCAAAGTCATCATGGGGTAAGACTGCCAACAGGTTCAGATGCTACACTAAACCTGAGAACACTGGACTCCTTGATAATAGACTATCATTAAACAAATTATAGCATATTGTTGCCAAAATTATTTACATTTAAACAAAAACTCCTTGAAAATATTGCAATGTCTATAATATAAGAGGGGATTTTTGGAGAAAAACTGAGAATGTCTTCAGACTCTTTCATGCTGTACTCGTGGAATAAGTCAAATGCTTTGTAAGACAAGGCTTTTCTCACTCAAAGAGAGATATTTCATAGGCTTCAACCCCCCCCCCCCCCCCCGTGTTCCCTCATACTTGCCAATTTTTCTGGCAAAAAACCCCCAAAGTGCCCTGGGGAAAATATCAATTTTTCCATTCTTCCCCTTTCCAGGCTCTCACATATCTTATCAGAAGCAACAAACTTTGCCTCAGATTAAATAAAATACTAATCCCTTCAGGGCACATTGTTTAAGATTAATCATGGGTGTTGCATTTAAATAGTTCAGCTAAGCTTCAAGTGGAGATGGTGGCTGCAGACCAAGTGCAGGCTTTGCTATAGGCTTCTTCAAGTACACCACAGCTTGGGCTGTAGGAGTGTTTCTGTAGACCAAAAAGGTTTCCACCTCTGAAGCATGAACGTCTCTCGCACTGCAGCCCAAAATGCCCTTTTGGGTTTGCTCCTGGCAGATAGGAGACAGCAGGGGTATTTTGAGCTGCAGTAGGAAGAGGGGGCTATGTCCACACTCCATGTAGAAATCCCGTGGTGGATCCAAAAGTGTATTTAACAACATTTCATTTTCCCCGAGTGCTTGGTCATAATAATGACAGACCATAGGGGGGAATCCATTGCATATATGATACCGTCTGCATGAAGTATTCCCAATGTCTAGAGATAATGTAAAGGATCTGAACATGATCAACAAGGACTGCTAACCCCTAGTTGTCTACCTGGGTTCTTACACCCTGTTTTGGAATCTACAGTATGACAGATACCCAGTGGGAGGCACAGAGAGAAATCTTTAAAATAGCTAAGATTTACTTGTGAATCTACCTTACACTGCACTGGGGCATTAGTTGGTCTAGTTCAGCATTGTCTCCTCCCTCTAGCAGCAGTTCAGAAGAGCCCAGGAAGTCATTCTCAACACCTGCTGTCTTTTGAGACCTTTCGACTGGAGATGACAGGGACTGACATTAAGACATCCCACATGCAAAACATGTGGTTTTTCCATGCTGTTCCTCATTAGGTTAACAGGTAGCAAAGTAGGGAGCCAAAACTGGGGATCAGTAGTGGGTGTGTATGGCTGCTGAACTACAGGCTGTGGAAGGTCAGTAGTTCAGCAGTTTGAGACCCAGGTGCCGCATGATGGAGTGAGCTCCCGTCTCTAGTTCCAGCTCCTGCCAACCTAGCAGTTCGAAAGCAAGAAATTGCAAGTAAATAGGTACCACTTTGGTGGGAAGGTAACAGCATTCCGTGCGCCTTGGTGTTTAGTCATGCCGGCCACATGACCACGGAAACGTCTTCGGACAGTGCTGGCTCTTCGGCTTTGAAATGGAGATGAGCACCGCAACCCTAGAGTTGGATTCGACTGGCTTTCGAGCAAAGGAACCTTTACCTATGGCTATATAAATACTAGAATATGTTAAAAACAAAAAATTGAGGATCCCAAGATGGAAGAGACTAGGAATTTAAGACTGCAGAAGATCAAAAGGAACAGGATGATGCGTTCACTATGATGGGTGAATAAGATAATCCTGGTATGCTGATTTGATTAAGAAGTTTCAAGTCTGGATAAAACACCTGGAATATAGATGAAAGTTGTGGGAGTAGACCTAGAGGAAACTGGGCAGGTTTCCAGAATATTTTAAGAGGTGGAAAGAATAGCTTGGTTTTGGTATGCTGAGAGGCAGGCAAGGTGGTATCTCTGCCTGCAATGGAAAAATAAGTGTTTTGAAGGTACAGTAAAAGTTGGCTTCATAAGAGACACCAGAGTAACTCCTAAGTGCTACAGAAAACAGTAGTTTCTCTGTGGCCAAGAATGAACTGAGCACTGGCCCTTGACCTTCGAAAAAAACTACGCTTGCCCTGACCTGGATGGCCCAGGCAAGCTTGATCTCGGAAGCTAAGCAGGGCCAACCTCCAAGGAATACCAGGGCCAGGACACAGAGGCAGGTAATATCAAAGCCACCTCTGAAACATCCTAGCCCCACTAGGAGTTGCAAGAAGTCAACATGCCTTCCAGGCTTGCAAGCTCAAGCACGCACACAAAAATGTACAAAAGTGATTATGAGACGAGGACTACAGAAAGGAGAGGAATCGGGTGGAAACAAATGAAAAAGCTGGCTGCACCCAACTTACGTTGTTGTGCCATAGTTCTCTACATAACTGAATACAGAAATTGTATTATAACCAGTGTTCCCTCTAAGCTGAGTTAGTGTGAGCTAGCTCACAGTTTCTTAGCCTCCGGCTCACACATTCTTGTCTTCGCTCAGGAAGGAATGGCTCCAGAGCAAACTAGTTTATGCAGCAGCCAAATGGCTCGCTCACAGCTTGAATGCCAGCAGCTCACAAGTAGAATTCTTGATTATAACTAGGCTGAACTTTTAATTCTGCTTACATTATGTATTCTGCTTTTATAAGAATGTTTTTAGTATAATCTTCATGTATATGGATGGTCTAGCAACTAATATATACCTACGTAACTGGCGTGGTAGCAGCCTGCTAAGCAGCATGATTCACGAATTTAGAAATCCAGGAATCCTTCAAGCAACAGCAGTGTGGTCACATAATCTCAAAAGCCAGGCTCCAGCTGCTTCCTGCTCACCCCTGGGAGGACTACTGCACAGTCAACTCTCCTAGCTGCCATGCATTCTGTATAGTTGACTGGGTCTTCCTGACTGGAAAGCTTCCACTTCAGGGCTGGCTACTCTCCAGGACAGCCGGTTTTGGCATCTGCATACAGGCAGGAGGCTGAAATGACAAGGCTACAATGGGCAGCAGAGTGGGGGCAGAAAACGCCTCCACAGTGGCTAAGGGTACTGTACATCTCTAACTAGTCCCAGTATTAATTGCCACTGGTATGCATAAGTAACCACACAGAAACAGTTTTTAAAGGGATTTTTTTAATGAAATGAAGAATGATGCACATGGCTTGTTAAATTAGAATAAATTACAATGAGATCATCAAATGGTAAAAAAGCCTTTTGAAAGTAAACATGTCTTCTGCCACTCTAAAGGCAAAATGGCAGTTAACAGCAATAGGTGGCTTGGTGGCCTGTACAACACTGCAGTGGCAGCATCTGCTGCTGCTTCAGCACCCAAAACAGCCTGAAAGTTGGACCAGGGAGCTCCACATCATTTCTTCTCTGCAAAACTAACCCAGCCCAAGGTGAGAGAACTTTGGCCTTGCCCCCATTTCTTTCTTTCTCCACCCCAACAGTGAGTGTCCGCATGAAAGTTCCTGGGAAGTCAGTAACTCTGATTCACAAGCCTCTGCATGCACCCTGGAGCATGCAGCGCACAGCCTTACCGGTTCATTGCTTATCCAGGGCAGGATGTGGTTTCTGCTCCCTGGAGACAAAGCCATGACTTCAGGGAAGCCTGGCACTGTCCCAGCTTCTCTCATGACTTGTCAGATCAGATGGCAAGGAACAAAGCAAGTCTGGATTTTCTGTCTACCACTCTTGCAGAGGTGAAATACCAGTAAGTCAGCTACTAGCTCACACTGATTAAGGAAGTTACACAATGAGCTTCTTTTGACCATCATTTGGGGTATAACCTAAGGTCTAGGACAAAATGACCAATCATTTCTTCCAATCAATTTTGCAGAGGTTTCCACTTAACAGCAACCTGTTCTGGTTCAAAACAGGATATTGTCCTGGAAGACGAAGGGCTCTTTCCCACACTGATGCTAGGTAGAGTAAGCTGGCTATGCCATCTCTCTAATGAGTCATGTCGACCAGCATTGCCTCAGATCACCACAGACATATGGAAGTAGTAATGGACTTCTGTTTAGTCTCACAGATCAGCAGAGATGCCCTAGAGCTCCCATTGCTGACAAGTATGAGAAACATTGACTACACACCAAGTTCTAATGCAGCAAAAAAAACCCCGCTAGCATGAGTATCATCCAAGGAAGGAGGCTGCTTTCTCCATGGAAACAATGTTTCCAGCAGTTCTTGAGGACTGTAGTCTCAGAACATGTTTCATCCAAAGATTAGACCAGTTGCCCTAGAAAACCTGTTGCCAAGTACCTGTCTTGAATCCCGCCCCCTAACACAGCCCTACTCCCATTCCAGGGTCTGCCCTTTAAGCACAAAGCCCTACACTAACTGCCAGGGTCTAGCAATGCAGTTCCATGTGCTCTTTTGACAAGTATTACTATGACGGTTCTCTCAATTTATAGCACAAGCTCAAGATTTGAGTCCAATACCACAAAGGCCAACGAGATTCCCAGGGAATAGGCTAAGCTCCCCCTGTCAAGCTTTGACTCTCAAAAGCTTATACCATGCAACGCTTGCTGGTCTTCAAAGGTGCTCCTGGATCTTGCTCTTCTACTTGAGAGCAACATGGCTACTCACCTGAAACTAAGTACGAGCTGTTTTCCTACATGCTGTGTTTGTTTTGCAAGCACTGGATACCCTATTCTTTAGTGAAACAACCACCTTTCGCAGTAAAGCTGGCCTGCCTTCAGGATACAATTTTAATCTAAGAGGGAGAGCGAAAAGGATGGTTTTCTGAATAGTCCACTATAAAGAGAAAGTATAAGGAAAGGGGGAAACTGAATCTCACCCTCTCGATACAAGATTGTATACAAATGTGTGTTGTGTTTTTTTTTGGGGGGGGGATGGGACGGCAGGTCTCAAAATGCCACCCTGTTCTCAATATGCATGGTTTGTTCCCTTGCCAGTGATCTGGCTGTGCTTCTTCATGACCAGTTGCAACCAGAAAAGTAGAGGCGATTTTTCAAAAAGGTAGTCTGCTGACTTTCTGGACAAACTTCTATTTATGAGCAGTGATGCAAGCTTTTGAGTTCCCAAGCACTATTCAGTGCTAGAGATGGCTTGCAGGAAATTCAACATAACTCAGAAATGTCCATTTTCTTCACTAATCAAAGCTGGCTTGATTAGATATCAACTTGCCCCTTTCCCACTTAGGGCTAATGTATGCAACAGTGGAATCTGTGATTGGAGAACCCCAAGCTGTAATTTAGCCTCAAAAAGCAGCTGGGGAGGAACTGGTTTCACTGGGGAAAGAAATGGGGGGAGTTCCCTTTCCTAATGTCATGGTCCCAATCCTCCTGCTCCATGGCTGCTTTTAAGCAATCAGCTACACATTGGGGGAATCAGATAACTGATCCCCAATATCATCTGTAGTCTGGCCCTTACTCAAATGCCAAAACAGCAGAAACACCATATACCAGTCCAGATATAACTTTTCATCCCTAAGTTAGTAGCTGATCTTCCACCTACTTAATGAGTTTATCATGCAAATTACATATGGGAAGTGTCACTGGCTGCTGACTCCCCTGGCAATCAAATTGTTTTGATCTCATGAGACCAGTTCTCTGTTAAGTTCTGACGCTGAGATTTCACCGTCTGGAGGCGCCTTCCATGTAGGTTGAACTGTGACCAGCTGAAGATCTGAAGTAGTGCGCAGGTAATAGGGATAAACACAAGAAGGTAGAAGCAGCCCTGACGAAGGGTTGGTTCCCAGGCCACATTGGAAGCCAGCATGGGCTGAGCGCTCACCACTTTGTTCAGAGGATCCCGTTGAAAAATGTCATAACCTGAGACAACAGCAGCAAGAAAGTAAGTGTGACCCATTTATACTGTATGAAGATTATGGTTTTGATATTTTATTTCCAGTAACAAGATGGCAATCATGATCTCTATTCAAAACAAAAGCTATTCTACAAACTGTTACATTAGCCCTAAATGTAATGGTCTCCTTTTCATCACTTTCAGTTTGCAGACTTAGTTAATTTCCCTTGCAAGGAGCAAAATACACTTAAATGAAGCCCAGCTGACTGGAATCTGCTCCGGAGGATTTGCTTGGGAGGAAGGATTCCACACATGAAATGTTAGGGGAAATCCTCTAACTCAAGCAGACTCAGTGTCAGGAAGAATTCTCATGTGGAAATGGCAGACTAGGTTCTAACCTGCCATTTAGGGTGGCAACCTTCCTCATTTGCCATCTAGCCACACAATACAAAGAACAATATGTACAGAAGTTCCTTTAATGAAATATTCACTAAAAATAAACAACTGCTACCGACTAACACATGATTTAAGTGAACACATTGATATCCTTGACTATATTACCAGCTGTCATTGCTATGTTTTCTCAGGAGAGAAAGAAAACCAGCAACTGTTATCTCAAGTCCCATTCAACCACTAAAGAAAGTGCCCTAACCATCACCTACCTGTGTAAGCACACAGTAGCCAGGTGCCAATCAAAGGGGCAAAGGTCTGGCCAGGCTTGGTTACCAAGGCAACCATGCCAAACAAGAGGGCTGAGGCAGCCTGCTGCCTCTGATTCAGCACCAGGTCTTCATCTACCAAGTCAGTGACCACGAGGTTTAACAGCTTGCATGTCCCTTCAGTGAACACACGGTTGCTGGGGAGAAAAACAGAGATTCAGTAGGACAAGTACTCTGAGCACACAGTGAAATAACTCCTGGAGGGTTTGCAGATAAATTCTTGGCACAGAAAGCAAATACAGGAATAAAAGTTAAAAAAAAAAGAACAGATTAACTAGTTTTTCTGTAAGTATTCAGAATAGTACCCAGAAGGAAGGAAAGAGTAAAGTCATTCTTTGACTGCTAAAATTCTCACTTGAACATCATCAGCATCCCCGGTTTCTAAATCTGCTGCAGGGAATGTTAGCACGGGGCGTTTTGTAGAAAAAGAGCTAGGGGAGCTCATTAGCATATGCCACACCCCCTGACATCACCGGAAGTGTGTCATAAGGCCACACACCCCGCCCCCAACGGTCCCGGTCGCCGGCGGCAGCCTTGCAGCTCCGCTGCCGAGCCCCATGCAGGGCCTGGCGGTGGACCTGCAAGGCCGGCAGGAGTGCAAGGAAGCCCCGTGAAGGCCCTCCCTGGCCGCAGGCAGGGGTGGGAAGAGGCAGGGAGGAAGCAACTTACCCTCCCCTCTTCTCCTGCCTCCTCCTGGCTGAATGAGGGCCGGAAGCAGGGGGCGGGGCTTCGTCATGTGCCCCGCCCCCCGTACCTCACCCAGGGGAACTGCGATCCCCCCCGAAATGACCTCTGAATGTTAGCATATCTTTAACATTGACTTCCCACATTCTCAAAGGCTAGATTCTTTTATTTTAAATCACTGAGTTTTTCAGTATTCCAGGCTCTTATGTGATCTGAAGAGAAACCAGAGTGGCCGTGCATAGATCTAAAGGTAAAAGGTAAATGTTCCCTTGCTCGAAAGCCAGTCGAATTCGACTCTAGGGTTGCGGTGCTCATCTCTGTTTCAAAGCCGAAGAGCCAGCGCTGTCTGAAGACGTTTCCATGGTCATGTGGCCGGCATGACTAAACACTAAAACGACTCTGATCAGACTCCCCAGATTTCTTGGCTAATACAAATAGCTAAGTGCATAGCTGAGAATCAAGACTCTGGATTACCCTTTCAACACTGCCAATACTTAGTCAAACATCCCAATGCACTCATAGCCCACACCCAGCCCCATTCCTCAGAGCAATACTACTTAAGTGGTATACCTAGCTATGAAGAAACATAGCAGGTAAATCCAGTCTGGTCCAGCAAGGAACATAATCACACCGAGGAAGAGTTTCAGGAAAAAGAGCCCTCGCACCACAGCATACACACCCCACCTCTGGCAGAGAGACAAGAAATAGAGGTTGTTGAGATGAGGGGCTACATAGGAGACACCTGAGAAGGAATGGAAACAAAACAAAAGAGGATCAAACAGTGCATCACTGCAATCACAAGATAAACATGAGATACAGATCTTTACCCTTAGCAGGAAACATGAGTTCTACAATCAACCAGAAAATGGACTTTGAGGTCATATAGTCTCACCACTTCCACGCATATGCATAATAAGTAAAAGAATCCTGTTTAGGCTGAAGCACAGTAGTAGCTCCAGCTTCTAGTTATGTTGTTTGCACAGCAGCTTGGAGCTATATAACCAAAGATGTTCTAACTGAAAACCCCATCAGTTTTTCATCCTTCTGCAATTCTTATGGATACATCTTTCATTCACAGCCAGAAACTCAACTGCAGCCACTTAATCTGTTCTGCTTCTCTTGGTCAGATGTGGCTCTCTTTCATTCTCCCTATCTGCTTAATCAGACATAGGTCAGGCAGCCTTTAGCATGGCAGATAGTACCATTACAAAAAAAAAAAAACCTACCCTGAATAAGATCTCAGGTTGGTCTGGCTTCCATTTTTTTTTTTTAACCAGGGATCTTTACTAACCTGAACCTAAGTGTGGCAAAATGACAGCATCTACACTGTGTGTCTAGGTCTGCCATGAGGACATTGAGATGTGTGCTGTGAATTCCCTGCAAAGAACTCAATTCCCAGGTACGGTGGGAGCTCAGTGTGGATCAGGCCCATGGTGAGAGAATACTCAGGCCTCCCCCCACTGCTGTTTTCCCAATCGTAAATGGCCTCTGGGATGCTATTTGCCCCACTGGGGAAACATATGTATACCTTACAATTGTGGGGTCCCTAACTGGCCACAGCACCCCCAGCAAAATTCCAGGTCCTGAAAATTGTGCAAAAAGAACGCTGAAGCACCACCTCCACACACGTTATGGCCTTGATCCAAATCAGGCTCCCTTGCTCCAGGGAACGGAGGTCCCAGTGGGAAATTGAGTGCACATCTGATATGAAGTCCTCAAGGCAGACCCAGACATGAAGTGAGGGCTGGGGAGTATTTAGGTCGTAAGTAAAATTTTCATTTTAAAACTTAAACTTGCTAGCTTACTCTTGTTCTTGTGTATGACAATATCTGCAAAATTTGACTTCAAAAAGATGATACTCAGAATTCGAATAAAGCAATTCATTTCCATACATGCAGTACATATGGCTCTGCTCTTCATCAACAAACAGTGGTTGGGGTGGAAACCCCCCCCCCAGCTACAACTGGTTTGTACCCCACATTAACAGCCACAATTTCTGTGGTCTGGGCTCTGTACCATGTATGAATTCTGTGCAGGTGTGGAATTCCACTCCAAGAGGAAGGAAGACTGTTTCCACAAAATGGTGGGAGAGCAGCTGAACTAGGGATCTTGGCACCTTTGCCAATGAAGAGAATTGGCATTCTCTTGTCACTTTCTAGAAAGCAAGAATCAGTACATCTTTCAGATTCCCACCTTGGACTTACCCAGCAGAAACGATCCCATGGACAGAGAGATACGATCCGACAGCAGATGCTCCAAGAAGAGAGGGAAGAAGTTGCTATTAAAGTGGCAGTGAAAAACCTGTGAAAGATGACCCATGTGAAAATGTAACTAAGGTAAGACGGCAGGACTACAAACAAAATACTGAAAATAATAAAACTCTTGATACCAGTCACATGTACAAGCTATATGAATGGGAGTGGTTTCATATGGCTTGTGAATTGGAGATGCAATTCTTTAACTACACAATTTAGGCCAACAGACTATTCAGTGCTCGATAGCAGATGCCTGTTAACTCAGGAAGTCTTCCTATTAAACCCAGTTAGCCAGTGGATAATTATCCAGAGCAGTTCATTACATGTTATCATGCAGAAACAAATTATTTCCTGGAGAGCACAGCAATTGTAGATGTCATGCCAAGCAGCTCAGAAGTGCACAAAGATCTCCCAACAGAGCCTGTGAGTAAAACAACTATTACACATGGAAGATGGAAGGCAAGAGGTGGAACATGTTTTTTCATACCTTCTCAAACTATCTAAAATGCTGTGCTCCAATAAGGTTCCAAGCACAAAAATCTGTACATACCATTGCTTGTACATCCAATATTCAACTAAACTGGGTTGTCTGCACTGCTAAAACTGCCTCAACATCTAAATGGAACCAAGAGTAGAATTGGTGCTGTCCACCACATACCACGCAGTTCCAGGTACGGTTCCAGGTTTAAAAATACCTTATAATCCCCCCCCCCCTTGCATTAGAGCTACAGGCTGAGGATCAAAAGAATGCTCTTTTTTAGTAAAAGCTGGCTTCTGTTCATTTATCATCCCCCACTAAGCACCAATTCAAATAATATTTATTTATTTATTTATACTCTCGGCTTGTATCCCGCTCAAACCCCAAGGGGTCTCAGAGCGGCTTACACAATTATTACACAATAATCTAAAACAAGACGACTTTACTGAGCCTGGGAAGACCAGCCATACTAGAGGAAGTTCTCTATTATTACAGGGACACATAATGAAAGCCTTTCTTTGATGCTCATGAAAAACAGAGCTATTGTCATGGGGTATAATAAAGTTCACATGAAACTTCTCTAAGGCTGGTCTCATGCTATGGGCTGGTCAGTGAAATTCATGTGGCAAAGATCCTATCACCTAATCTATACCATGCCAAATGTTTATTGGACACAGTGGACAGTACATTAGCTTCAGGATCAATAAAGACTTATTTTGATCATGTAGAAGGCCACCTAGACTCTACTGGATTGGAGCTCTACAGGTGAGCATGTTAGATGTTTTCCTATCTAACCTCAACAGCCAAAAAATTTTGTTACAGAGAACACCGTGCTATACCTACCTGTATAAGGTTCATAGATACAAACCAGAGGAAGTTGCGATGCCTGGAGAGCTGTCTGAGATACTCTGCCAGAGTGATCCTTTTCTCCTGCTGCACAGAAGGCCTGTCTACATACAGTCTGGAGGAACAAATGACCACATTTTAAAAACAGCTGCTATTGGTGCAGTGTGGATAGAGTGCAGAACTTTGAATGGGAAGGCCAGAGTTAAAGTTCTCACCTGGCTATACTTCCTCACAGAGTTAAAGTGAGGATAACCTGGGGCAACTTCATGCATGTCATATTAAGGCTTCCAGCCTGTGCAGATCTTATGAAACATTATATTTATCTACCGTTTGTTGTGATTGAAACTGCTTTACAAATACTAACGTGTGTTTCAGGGGGAACAGATGTTTCAGAGTATTGTGGAAAAGCCCAGAAATCTGTAGCTTATTTTTAAATCTTGAGGTGTTGCAATTTGGCTTGTTCAAAGTGCAGAACAAATTTCAGATTGCAACAAGGCTACTTAGGCAAAATAGCAAATGGTTGCTGCTATTTGTTTGGAAGCATCAAAACCAACAGTATTTCAGATCAGTCTCTAGTGCTAGTTGGAACTCACAGTTCTCTTGAATGGCAGAGTGTACTAATAGATAAAAATGTATCTCTCCTTATCTCCAGCACTGTTAATATAAGTTTGAGGTGGTGGACTAAATTACGTGTCAATAAAAACCAAATTAGGTAGTGGTTGGTTTGGGAAATACCTGGAGATTTTGGGGGTGGAGCCTGAGGAGGGAGGGGTTTGGGGAAGGGAGGGACTTGATTGGGGTGTATTGCCATAGAGTCCACCTTCCAAAGTGGCCATTTTCTCCATGTGAATTGATTTCTGTCGCCTGAAGATCAGTTGTAACAGCGGGAGATCTCCAGCCACCACCCTAGTCTGGCAACCCTAGTCTGCACACATGTCCTGTCCAAACACTGAAGCTTCTGCACTGGATGTTTTAAAAGGTGACTGACAGACCTCCATACAAATGCTGGGACGTGTTGAGGAAACAGCTGGTCTTAGTCTACAAGCCATACATTTTGTTCATTGGGTGGTGTGTTTAAATGAGGAAAGAAATTACACAACCAGATAGCGCTTACTCTTTTAAAGCTGCTCTTTCGTCCCATTTCACTTTCCCCTCACTCTGAAACCTCTGCCTCAGCACCCATGTGGCCACAATGAATCCAACTGCTGAGCCGAAAGCCAATGCCACACAAAATATCCGGAAAGAGAAGAAGTCCTCCTTATTCCACACAGCATAGGACATGAAGACTGAGAGAGAGCCAATGGCACTGAACAGTGAAGAGTAGAAGTTGAGTCCAGTCCTATCCTTTGCAGACACAGCAAGGTCAGCAAGCAAGGCATTCTGGTTGAGATCCACCATGGTGAGGAAACTGTCATACAAGCAGAGGCAGATGAGAAACTGTAAACCTGGGTGGGCCCACGCAATCCAGAAGGCCAGGAATGACAAAGCAAAAAGGGGGCCATTGTGGTTTAGGGCCTTGAGTCTCTTCAATACCACTTCTGGAGAGGAGATCTCTATTCCAGACCTACAGAAGAAAGAACATTCCCATTAAAATTGGTTGGATTCATTCCACAATCTGAAATATACCTGCTGTTAAAAGCCTAATGCTTTCTCCCTTGTCAATCTGCATTTGTTCTGTCTTCTCTAATACCCATCATTATTCATCAGTATTTAGTGATTTACTTCTTGGTTTTTTCTTTGCAAGAAAGTTTGCACTGACTACCAGTCCCTCTTTCCACTTCTTAAAAGTTACTCAATTTATTTGGTTGCACTCATGTATACGTTCAATCCCATCTCACTGTGGAAATTCAGCATTCTTTTGAAGGATCAAAAGAACCAAGTCTCCAATTCCAAGAGGAGGATTCATATATGTACTCGAAATTCCCAAAGATTAGCATCAGAAGGAAAACAAGAATAATACGAAAGGCAGTGAGGTGCTGGTCTGGATGCATGTGTAACTGAATGGGTTAAAATTATTAATTTGTACATTAATATGCTCATTTTGGTTAGTTTAACATACTAGTTGGCATGTTTCTCTCCACTTTTCATAGCTATTAAGCTCTCAATGCCTTGACACAGGACATATATGACACTCTGCTTACTGTTGTGTGCTGAGGAAAGTCCGGTCACTCAGCCAGCCAAAGAGAGGATCATTGAGACTGTTCCAGATCAGAAACACAGTCTAGAATGAAAATATGGTATACCCACTGAGATGCAAGCTGAAGACAAATGTTTCAAACATTACAGAATGAATTATTTGCTGTTAATAATGCTCATCTTGGAGACTACCAAATGCAATATCTGGCATGCTCATAATCACAAATACCCATTCTATGCCCATTGCCAAATCCCTCCATACTAAAAAGCAGTTTTATCATATGGAACTCCATAACAAAAAAGGACAAAGCCCACCATTATCCAAGCTGATGAAGGTAGTGATTTTGGCTTCTCAGGCACTCAAGGAAAGAAATGCCAGAATTATAATCAAACCCATTTGGCATCTCTGCTAAGAGAGAACTTCCATAAAGCTTTGAGGAACAAATGCAAAAATATATCTCATCAACACAAGAAGAAAAAACCCCACTGCCTTTCCCAGGCTAATAACGGAACACATTTCCTCTGACATATACTAGCACTGGAAGATTATTCCTCTTTTGCCAATGTTAAGAGAGACTATATTCCTCCCTTGCTACAATACTCTAGAGGGGACAAAATTTATTCCACCCACCTCTATAATTACCAGCCAATCTCACTGAGGATAAAGTACCTTTCTGACTCTTCTGATAAAGGAATCAGTGAAATGAGAAACAGACAATATTTGTTCTGCACATCAGACCCTCATGGGAGTGCTGCATAGCATGTAGATTTTTCCTGGGAAACCAGTGTAGTGAATCATCACCATGTTTGGAGTCATAAGAGGAAAAAGTGGCAAGATGACCACAGAGGTATGTGAAGGGAAGACTAGAATTTTTAAGAAAGGCAGTATTGGATAGGCCCTTGCCTCAGCCCTTTAATGGGAGAGGTACAATTCAAGAGAATTACATTTCTAGAATCATGTAAGTTGCTTTCAGGGCGAGGTATAAAGAGTCAAAGTCTATTATTTCTATGTAGTATTTTTATTTCAGGGATTGACACAAGTGTTTTCATGAGAATTGTTCCAGAATAATGCCTATGTATGCCAGCAACCTAAGTGACTTGCTTGCAGTACTGCTCATTCACAGCTAGAAGATGCAAAATTCTTGCACCCCTCTGGTTTATCATCACCTCAAAATTAAACACAAGGCATGAAAGCAGATTCCCACCCATGCAAGAGAAACCCCTCCTTTAGTTCTTCAACAGCTGGCTACTAGCCCATTAACAGCCACAGACTTCATCTCACTGAACAGCTCTGACAAACACGTTAACTCTCAAAGTTCAAAACCTACCTCCCCAATCCAAAAGGAAAGTTTATCGATCTTGTAAACAGAAACAAAGGTGTCCACGTAGTAGAGGAGAAACACATTGTGCAAAATGGAAATAAAGAGCGACAGGGACCCATAGACCACTGCAATGGGGAGGCTGGAGAGACAAGCCAACATCTGGGAAGCCATGGTGGTTCACTCTGAGTCCTTTTGCTGCCCTCATCACCTCCAGTTCCAATGGGGCCTCTCCCTCCAGCACCTACTAGTTCGTTGTTGGGTCCAAACCATCATCATTCCTGTCAGAAAGGTAACAAAACCAAGTAGTTCATGTGCATTTTTCTCCTGAAGAAACAGATCCATTTAGTCTGCAATAAGAAATGTAACTGCATACAGTTCTTTTGGTTCAAAAAGAGGACAAATAATAGGATTGGACAGGCTCAGGCTATCTTAGGGTGGTAAAGCAGCTTTGTTAAGCCAAGCCATCATATGGCGACAGCCTTCTTACCAGACTCAGAGCTCTCTGAGAGATCCTTTCACATGGAGAAGTACCTAGTGTATTTTTATAAGGTGCTTTTAATGCTTAATTGCCAGCTGGAAACAGATAACCAGTATTGATATATGGACATTTCTCAGGGCATCTAGTTCCATCAAGACAATATATTTCATCCCAAGACAAGGATGCTTTCCCAATGAAGAATGTTCAAATGGCAAGTCCCTCCAAAGAAGTCTACCTTATGTAATCTAGAGAGATATACCATATACTTACAGTAGTGTTTCTCACACTTTATAAAGTTACTGTATCTAAATACTGTATCCAAATTTACTGTATCTAAATATGGTATCTAAATTTACTGTATCTTTCACACGCCACTCCTCCTGTATTTACCTGACTCCTGCCTCTCTGGTGCTACTGCCTATGCTTAACACAGCCCCTCTAAACCCTTCACTCTGCACACATTGCTGGTGTCCCATTCTATCCCATTGGCCCCACCCCCAGTTTGGGTGGCAGTGGTCTAAAGGGGCAGCAAGTGATATCTCCAACCTTCTAGACATTCCTATCCAATCTTTACAACTTCCAGGACTTCCTATTAACTCAATTTCAGCATGTTTTCAATCAGGTGCCATTTCCACGGGCATGTCAACTAGTGTTGTTTCTAAATATTATAGGAAAGTCCTGGTTCAAGGGTACTGACTGATACGGCAGCAGATATACCAAGATACTCTAAATCAGTGGTGGGAAACCTATGGCATGGGTGCCAGAGGTGGCACTCAGAGCCCTCTCTGTGGGCACACGTGCCATCGCCCCAGACCATCATAAAAGTGTCGAATTCTCTGCCAAATAATTTTAAGTAAATGAAAGCATTTGGGATTGCTTTCCTTACTTTGTTTGGATCATCTTAAGTTAATGTATGGGTTGTTTTTTCTAAAGTAAAACCTCAGTATTCAGGTTAAATTGCCATGTTGGCACTTTGCGATAAATAAGTGGGTTTTGGGTCGCAGTTTGGGCACTCGGTCTCTAAAAGGTTCGCCATCACTGCTCTAAATCCTTCTTCAGCAGCTTAAAAGCGAATCACAGCAAAAAGCTAAGTTACTGCTGCAGGTAAGAGGAAAAGAGAGGCTTCTTGTTTACTTCTCAAGCAGCTTTATCCAGACTGGGAGGGGGGGGGGGGAATAGATAAGCACTCTCTCTGCTCCTTTCCATTTGGAGCACCTCAAAGGACACTGTGTGTATTTGAAAGAATATGCATGATGTGGCTGAGAGAATGCTTACCCCAAACAGTTAGTATATATCTCTGTTCTTCACACAAGCATATTGAGTCAAGGTCTGGGAAGAATACAAACTTTTATGTAGCTCACTAGCCCAAGACTCTATGGTTAGTCTTGAGCATTAATTGAAGTTTCCAAAATATTAATTAACCTGTACTAGTTCCAAACAACTGCAGGCTAATATTCCTCCTCACTTCCTTCTTAAAAGTAGGGTTCATTCCTTGCACATTTAATTCCCGAATAAATAAAAGCTATTTTGAAAAAGAAGGCTGTTTGAAAAACACTTTACATTCCTCCTTTCCCCCCTCCCCCATCTGATCCCTAGAAGACAGGGGGGATCAGACGCCATTAGCAGAGTGCTGTTTCTCTGCTGCAAAGCACAAAAGAAAACTGTACCATTCTCCTGTCCACAGATAAAGGTTTTAACCCTGGGAGGGCAAGAGAAGTGCAGCACTCAGAGCCTGGCCAACACTATGGAGACTGAGCACTGGGCTCTCAGAGAAGCCTAACACATTGGCTCAGGTGACGGTAGTGGCTGTGCCTGGATTGATACTCTCCTAAGGAGAGAAAGAATGGAAGAGACTAACTGCACTACACCGGTTAGGCAAGCACAGAAGAATAAGATTCTGCTTTTCTTTTGATCCCTCTGCTAGGGAGAGAGAGCAGTCAGTCCATCAGGCTCAGGGATCTCCAGATGCTGCCCTACTATATATAAAGGTAAAGGTTCCCTTGCTCGAAAGCCAGTCGAGTCCGACTCTAGGGTTGCGGTGCTCATCTCCATTTCAAAGCCGAAGAGCCAGCGCTGCCCAAAGACGTTTCCGTGATCATGTGGCCGGCATGACTAAACACCAAGGCGCACGGAACGCTGTTACCTTCCCACCAAAGTGGTACCTATTTATCTACTTGCAATTTCTTGCTTTCGAACTGCTAGGTTGGCAGGAGCTGGAACTAGAGACGGGAGCTCACTCCATCATGCGGCACACTCGGGTCTCGAACTGCTGAACTACTGACCTTCCACAGCCTGCAGTTCAGCGTCTTAACCACTTGAGCCACTACTATATATAGATCTACTCTAAAGGCAGCATGTGGGATTCTCACCTTTCTTCTCTCCCTCCTTTCAAAACAGAGACAGAGTGCACAGCAGGCAGCCTTCAGAGGCTTCTTTGTTCTGAAGATAGTACATATGAATATGTATCCCCTTCTAGAAAGTGATGGGAAGGCCAGCAGCACCATTCATAGCTTCCAGAGTTACAAAGCAACTGAACCTAACCCTAACCCTGATCACTTGGAGGAAATTTCTGCTTGTCCCAGCCAACACTGGGCTCCTTTCACGACAGCTCACTCATGTTTAAAGAAATCAGTGAACATATAATGATTGACCTACAATACCTTGTAGAGAAGACACACTGAGAGGAAAATGCTTGAAGCAGTTCCACTGGTACATCTGTAAGGTCACTGTTTTAACTTGAAGGCATTAGCAGGTAGCATCACTAAAACCAAATAATGAAAACAAAATTCCTATAATGCATCTTTGGGATATTCAGTTAGTTACTCATTCCTAGAAAAACTTACATATATTTAATTATATCATCCTGGCTTGAATGGGGTTACTAAAATTAGTTAAAAATATGAGTTCAAGGATAGGGTTCAAGACTGAATTATTTCTTAGTTAAGTATGCAACTTTCCAGACACATTTAGAGTAACTGCATTTTTTTTCATTCATTTACTGCCTTGAGAATACAATTTAAAAATACCACCACTGCAAATTATAAATTGTGCCTTGAAGGATTTCCTGAAAGAGGCCCCAGGTTGAAACAAATAGAAAGTTGTCCTCACATTTCAGCAATATCACCTGATTTACTTTAACAGATTTGTAAACATTTCCTCATGCAAGAAAGTACAGTCACAGCTTTGACTCATACTATAGACAGCCTTTTAAATCTATGCAACCCAGTAGTAAAAGTGTATCTAAGAGAACAACCTTAAGCAAGTCTGCTCAGAATCCTGCTGAGGTTTATTCAACAGGGTTTCCTCTCTGCAAAGTGTTCTTAGGCTTGCACTGTAAACCATGGCTGAGAAACTATGCTTCCACATAACTGAAAAAGACAGCCCAACCTGAGCTAGCAAAACAGACCTCAAGACCTGCTGCATTTAATTAATATAGTAGGAAGAACGTGGAGCTCTTTTGCTGTGTGACATTACTGTGAATGCTGGCAGTAATTCAGTTGCCCACCTCAAAAAAACATACAGCATTTTGATGCAAAAATCAGGATGCTGTTTATAGTTCTATTGCTAGCTAATCATTTTTTTCAGATTACACACTCTTTAGAGGGTACAGAGCATTTCAGTTTTGCCTACATAACACTATATCATGAGAAGTCATAATAGAACTATTGCTTTCTGGTTTTATGTGTTCAACACAGAGAAGACACTTAGCAACGCTACCCATAAAAATGCAGATGTTTTCAGAATATCTGAAACATTCAAAGGGGGGGGGAACTAGAGCAAGGTCACTGTACTTTGATGTTTCCAGGCAGTCTCTTAGGATGCTCCAAATGATACCTGAATAGTTGTTGTAGATTTTCCGGGCTGTATAACCCGGAAAATCTACAACTAATGAACTCTGGCTGTGAAACAACCAGGAATCAACAACATATTGATACCTGAATAGCTAGGTAAAAAGGTGTTCCCCACAATTGTTCTTTATACAAAAGCAGGTTACACAATGATCAGGAAGGAAACTGGTGTGAGAACATTATATATTTAAAAATGGGAGACAAAGATCCTTCCAGACACAATCAGAGAACTCCGAGCAACTGCATTTTTTTTCAGGTGGTCAGCCGTGTTGGTCTGAAGGCAGTAGAACAAATTTAGAGTCCAGCCACACTTTAAGATCAACAAAGGTTTATTCTGAATTTGTTCTGCCTTTCGCCCCCATACATTCATTGCATAGAGGCTACAATTTCAGATACAACTACAGTTGAAAAATACCACCACTGCAAATTGTATGTACATAAAGTTTACAGATACCGTCTCCTCGCAACAGTCCGGGGGGGGGGGGAGACCCACGCTTATTAATAGTTAGATCAAGATGGGTAGCCGCGTTAGTCTGTCTGTAGCAGTAGAAAAGAGCAAGAGTCCAGTAGCACCTTAAAGACTAACAAAATTTGCAGCACGGTATGAGCTTTCGTGAGTCCCTGCTCACTTCTACAGATAATAGGGGGAGTGGTCGCAAGTGAAAAAGAAGCCGGCCTCCAGTCCAGCTGTGCGTAAAATTGGAAACAAGACAAGCGGAAGTGGGCTGCCAGAGGGATAACCCCTTCCTTACGCAGGCAACAGGAAGACACCCTACTCAGCAGAGGCGTAGCTGTATGAAACAGAAAGAGAAGACCACCCCACCACAGAGGAAGAGAAACGATTCAAAATAAAAGTCTCTAATGGGCAGAAGATAATCGGGGTGGAGGGGGGGGGGTAGGCGAGAGCCCTGCCGCGCACCGAGCTAGCCACCGTTTCTTACCTGTAACTCCGGCCCGGCTTCAGCCTTTCGGTCAGCTGGCGCAGGCGTACTGAGCCTTCTACGGTCTCCCCCTCCCACGGAGCGTCAGGTGACACCCACAGGACGGCCATTTTTGAGACTGACCGCCTACTTCTTTCGATACCATCTTGGATGTGGGCACTGGAGGAAATTACAGCAACTTGCCCAATCATAGTGCTGTGTTTTTATGGGACGGGGGGGGGGAGTTGGAGTAGCTTAAGGAAGCTTTCAGTTCGGTTAACAAAAGGCTCGTTGGTTTGGTTGATGTCGTTGGGCTTGTGATTCCTTTCTCAGTAATATGTTGCCTCTTTTAATTTTAATTTGAAACATTTTCCTTGAATATATTTTACCAATGTTTCAGAATTAAACATCGGATGTCATACATATTTGGAGGACAATGGAATTGTGTGTATGTGTGTGTTTAATACAAAGCAAGCAATTAGGATCGAGGATCTATTACATTTGTCCAGGTTCTATTGTAGTGCCACAAACCGCACCAATTTTACTGCAAAGTAACTTAAAACACAAATCCTAGAAACCGCAGAAACTTTCAAAACCCCTAACATACGGTCACTAGATCCTTGATCGGTATATTTGATCCTCGGTACATCCTGCTGTGGCTCAAGTGGTTAAGACGCTGTGACACTGTCTAACCATCTCATCCTTTGCCGTCCCCGTCTTCTTTGACCTTCAATCTTTCCCAGCATCAGGGTTTTCTCCAGTGAGTGCAAACATGTCTTTCAAATGCCGGGAAAGATGCCTGGCTTTAAAGTTTGATGCGAACGTATCAAGCAAGCTAGTACTGTGAAAGGGTCATTATGGCTCCTGATTCTGCCACTTTCTCCAGATACTTGGTGACATATCTCTGCAGGTCTGCTATTGGTTCACTGACTTCAGCCTTTGAGAAGTTCCTGGTGGTGATGCACTGTGCTAAAACTGATGCTGCTTTTGGAAGAGCAGTTCTTCAGAGCCTGTTTCTTCAAGACGACCTGCAGATAACATCAGGTACATGGCTCCCTAGTCATCAAATCACCGCAGACTGTGACTGCAGCCATGAAATTAAAAGACGCCTGCTCCTTGGGAGGAAAGCGATGGCGAACCTAAACAGCATGATAAAAAGTAGAGACATCACCCTGCCAACAAAAGTCCGCATGGTCAAAGCAATGGTATTCCCAGTAGTCATGTATGGCTGCGAGAGCTGGACTATAAGGAAGGCCGAGCGCCGAAGAATAGATTCTTTTGAACTATGGTGCTGGAGGAGACTCTTGAGAGTCCCTTGGACTGCAAGAAGAACAAATCAGTCAATCCTCAAAGAAATCAACCCTGACTGTTCCCTGGAAGGCCAGATAATGAAACTGAAGCTCAAATACTTTGGCCACCAAATGAGAAGGGAGCACTCACTGGAGAAGACCCTGATGCTTGGAAAGATTGAAGGTCAAAGAAGACGGGGACGGCAAAGGATGAGATGGTTAGACAGTGTCATCGATGCAACGAACATGAAGTTGAGCCAACTTCAGAGGACGGCAGAAGACCGGAAGGCCTGGAGAGAGCTCGTCCATGGGGTCGCGAAGAGTCGGACTCGACTGTGCGACTGAACAACAACAACAAAAACAGCGTTCCGTGCGCTTTGGTGTTTAGTCATGCCGGCCACATGACCACGGAAACGTCTTTGGGCAGCGCTGGCTCTTCGGCTTTGAAACGGAGATGAGCACCACAACCCTAGAGTCGGATTCGACTGGCTTTCGAGCAAGGGAACCTTTACCTTTACATTTCAGTTTGTTTATTGATTGGGGTCTGTAGGGGCTGCTGAATGTTGCCAAAGTTCTAGTTCACAAATAAAGGTTGCTATGGAATCTAAACTGAATTCCTGAATCTCAGCTGTACTCTGCTGAAATCTCATTTCTTAAGGCAACAAAACCAGAATAATCTAAAAAGAATGTGAGACATGATAAAGGAAATAACAGTGGTCAGACAATTTTTTAGTGTGCTTGTTAACACTTCTTGAGAAAGAACTTAGCATCATAGGTGAGTAACAGAAAGATGCAGAAGGAAGTTTGAGTCCAGGGCAATGTTCCCTCTAAGCTGTGTAGTCTTGTGAGCAAAAATTGTACTTTGTGAGCTACCACCATTAAAGTTGTGAGCGAGAAATTGGCTACCGCATATATTAGTTTGCTCTGGAGCCATCCTTCCTGGGCTAAAATAAAAAAAAATGTGTGAGCCAGAGGCTAAAAAACGGTGAGCTAGCACACACTAACTCAGCTTAGAGGGAACACTGGTCCAGGGGCACCTTCAAGACCAACAAAGTTTGATTCTGGGTATTGTGTGTGCACACAAAAGTTTACACAAAAGCTTTAGGACTTTGTTGGTCCTAAAGGTGTCGCAGGATTCAAACTTTGTTCTGCTGCTTCTGACTAACACCCCCTACCCACCTGAATCTATTGTCATAGAAAGACAGTTATTCTGTTCCTCTTCATATACACTTTCCACATTCCTAGAAACAGGTTGTGGCCTCCTACAAGAAAGGAGCTTTGTTTACTGGCATCTGTGCTAATATTTCAGGTATGTTCACTTTACATAGAAAGTCTGAACATACAACATAGAAGGATTCTAAGAAATCAAAAAAATAGTCATAGAAGTGTCAGAGCCTAGTGAGATCCTAGAATTCTTTCTCCGTCTTTATATTTTACCCACATATTCATTGGTGCCTTCTCTTCATAATCAGGGAGGGCTAAATTATCTCAGGTGTTTAACACAGTGATTGATGCAATTAGTTAATAGAAGCCACTTAGCTGCCAAATGAACAAATGTGCAGTAGCAGGAAAAAGAGGTGGTTGTAAGTTATGGTTGTTTAGCTGTGAAACTAAATTGAGGGGTTTTTTGTTTTCTGGGAAAATTGATTTAGAAAAGGTAATTAGTTTTTTTTAAATAGCAATGGTTTTGATTGAGTTGTAATACAGTTCTTTTTGTTAAAGCTGATATGTAAATAATTAGTAGCTCTAGGTATTAGTAACTGTATACTGTATTACTATCTCTGACTTTTTGTGGTGCCCTTTCGTAGATATACAAGATAAGTTCCTTATGAATAGAAAGGTGTTGCTAATTGAGGCTAGCTTCCTCTTATCTAGCAAGAATTATGCTGAGTTTAATATAACTTGTGAGTTGTATTCAATTAATAGTGCTAGTTCTGAGGATATTTGTTTTGTTTAAGATAGGCTGTTGTACCTTTAACAGCTTTACCAGAGCAACAATGAAAAATCATGTATGTAGCTTTCCCTCTTATGCAGCTAGTAAGTGGCTCTCAGTCATATAACCGTTAAAGGTACAGAACTTTAGCCAGAAGATAAAACTGGCACCTATAAACATATTGTGTTAGTTACAGTCTTTAAAGCCCTTTATGGTCTAGGAATCACATATATAAAAGGAGATATTACTCTTGTAAAACTTCTGGTTCCTCTCAGGAGCTATGACATAACCAGGTTTTTTCACATTGCTACATTATTTGTGGAAGCTTTGGGAAGGTGTTGTAGTGCTTTTCTTTTTCTTGGCTAGAGCTTTTAATGGAATTTGAGCTGTAGGTTTGTTCTTTGGAACGGCAAGGTATGGCATTCTATTGTTTTGGAATTGTAGGCCACCTTGAACTACAAGGGAAAAGTTGGGATAGTTGCTGCAGCAAATAACAACCACTAGGTGAGTAGCTGTGTTGGTCTAATAATGCAATAGAAAAAAGTTTGAGCCCAGTGGTGCCTTTAAGACCAACAAAGTTTAATTCTGGGTATAAGCTTTCCTGTGCATGCACACTTCATCAGATAGGTTGAAACTGTTTTTCTCTAGTCTTACATACAGGTAGAGGAGGGGTTAGTTGCTAGGAGGGGCTAGTTAGAGTCAAGATGCATAAGTATTTGGGAGATAAGTATAGGTGAGATTGGATTAAAGCAGTTGGTAAGACCTGCGACTGGCAGCAAATTAGCATACAAATATAGGAGTTAACAAACAGATGTGTGAGAACTAAATTTGAATCCAGCGGTACCTCCAAGACCAACAAAGTTCAATTCTGGGTATAAGCGGGGAACTGAGAGACTTAGTATATGTAGATCCACACTTCCTTAGATACATTGAAACAGATTTTACATGTAGGTGGGGGGGTTAGTTGCCAGGAGGGGCTAATTATAGTCAATATGCATAAGTACAGCTAAGATTAAAATAACACAGCTGGTAAGGCCTGTGAATAGCAGCAAATTAGCATACAGGTAATAAGAATTAACGACAGATGTGAGAACTAAGTTTGAGTCCAGTAGCACCTTTAAGACCAACAAAGTTTAATTCTGGGTATAAGTGAGAACTGAATGATTTAGAATGTGTAGTGAGATTAAAAAAAACTGACATCTCTGTTAAGCCTGGGGGTTCCACTGTCCTGAGTGTTGTAACAATTTGTAATTCAGCAGTCTCCTGTCTCTTTCTGAAATTCCTTTGCAGTAAAACAGCTACTTTGAGGCTCTCCATTGAGTGCCTTGGGAGGTTGAAATGTTCTCCTACAGGTTTCTTACTGAATCATGTAAACTAAATGTTTTTAAGTGAACTGTTTATTTTTGTTAGTGATAATTCTAAAATGCAAGGGAAGGGATATCTTCTAAGAGTCAAGTTGCATGTTTATTAATTTATTGGTACCCCATGTTTCTCTTCAATGGGGAGTCAAAGCGGCTTTACATTGTTTTCCTCACCTCAATTTTAGCCTCACAATAACCCTGTAAGGTAGGTTGCGCTGAGAGAATGTGACTGGCCCAAGGTCACCCAACAAGCTTCCATGGCACAAGTGGGGATTTGAACCCAGGACTCCCAGATACTAGTCAGATATTCTTAATCACTACACCACTCCGGCATGTGTTAACTGCTGCTTATAAAGTGAAGGATTATTTTGGGTTAGGAGAGAGCTCAAGGCACATAACACAGCAGTCTACCTGGTTTGTGTGTGCTGACAAGAAACAAAGGTACACATGGAACCTCTTTTTCTTTGCAAAACTAGTATGAGTCCTTT